ATTATGGATATCCAAAAGTGCAGTTATTGAAGCAGTTATCGAGTAACCTTATCACATTCCACGATTCAAGGAGTTCAGTTGAAGACGGTTGAAGGACAAAGAGTAGTGGCAGCAGTTAGAGATGACAGTTCCACGACAAGTTAGCCACCATAAAGAAAGTGGGTAGTTATAAAGCAATCAAGCAGTTTCTAAACGGTTGATCACGAAAAAATCATCAATGAAATATAGAAGGAAGAGAAGACATAGAGCAAAGACCCCGAATCAAACACTCTCAAACAGAGAATATGTAATTTCAATTTCTTAGTTTAAATTTAAACATTTCTTTTCAGTACTCGTGTGCTTGCGCCCCTTGAAGGCATTCTGTTTAGTTCTAATTGTAAAGTCATTACCAATAAAACACTCATTTTTGGGACTTTGTCTCAAGATATTTGTTCCTTACACAATCGTCTGATTTTCTTTTTAATTGTTAGCGACTACCCGCGCGAAACACGTACCTTTTTTTGTTTTTTTATATTTGTTAGTAGCGTACATGTGTGTAAGATATGAGAACATGTGATGGTTTTTCTTAATCACTTGGCCATTTTCTTTTTCCCACTCATTAATCACATTTACTTTATGGATATACTTAAATACATGGTTATTGAATACATGCAAAATTATTAACTTTATGTGTTTTACTATTCTCCAAGTCAAGGCAAAAAGGGAAAATTCTTCGAAGTTCTTATCAAATTTTTAATTACGGTAAGATATTTAAGTGCAATGGTTGAATTTTTAATCTCCATGATATTTATACTATGATTCCATTCATTCCAAGGTTGATTTTTATGTTAAATCATTCGGGACAGACTGTCAAGTCTAATTATGTTAAATCCTTTGTGATGTGAAAATTCTAAAAAAATTCTTTGAATTATCTGTCATCGCAATTAGTGGTTCTAATCTATGAATGTTTTGAAATGATAGGCACTGGGAGAGAGAGATTGAACTACCCTGGGAGAAAGACGAGAAACGCACACTCACTGGTGAAGTAGTCCTCAAAATCATAAGAAAAAAGATTAAAGAAACTAATTTGTAGGTATCTTATTGAGTATTTTATTTAAATTACTCAATTCTTACAAAATTTCTTATTAGAATAGGTCGTGTTGGACGCGTGGAAGTTTGGACGAGTGGATGCTTATGAGTTGCCAAGTAAAAATTATTTTAAACACGTTCATCACTAGACTTTCATTTAATATTATCAAGTTTAGTATTTGCACCTTTTTTTTTTTTTTTTAAGTTTTGACAATCGTGTTTATGTTTATTTCATTTAAATTGATGTTGAACGATTTTAATTAAATTTAAATGTTGATTTGACGTTGAGTTGAATTATCAAAAATTTTTTAAAGTTCTACGGGTTAATATTATTTTCTCAAAAACAAGAATTTACGTTCCGCTTAAAATATATATTTAATAAATAAATAAGAAATTTGTTAAAACTTCGATTTTATTTTTTTTTTTTAAATTTTGGGGTGTTCTAAAAGCCATGCTGTAGCATTCATTTCCAGCCGCATCTTATGCGCAACCAAAATCATGCTCCGAGCATGCACTTTAAGCCGCAAATGAATGCATCATTTTCCTTATATTTTCTAATATATATTACGAACATCCTTCTCGATGACAATTTCTGTGTCTAAGTGGTTGATTTTGGCCTCCTTAGACTCATCACTTTAATGAACAACACAATATTATTCTTTTCTCTTATATTGGACGAACATAATATTTTAAAATTTTTGAGACCAAATAGGGAGAAGCATACCATATTAGTTTTGAAAATGTTATCTAGTGCTAATGGAGTTAGAATCTGATGTCCAAACTTGTTATCCACCTAATGATTCATTGACACATCATTTAAAATTAACATATCCTAACTTTTCTCTCACTCACTTATACTTAAAAATAAGAGTAAAATGATGTATTAATGGATCATTGGTGAACGATAGATTGAACAGCTAATTTTGAGAAGCAGATCTCAGCTCGTACCAATGATATTGAACACCAATCTAAATATCAACACATAATAGATTCTATTAAATATGTAATAAATGTTGGGGTTCAACCTTTATTAAACATGTAATAAATCATTGCATTTAATTAAACATGTGATTTAATATCACATAGGCTATCATTTAGACTTATACTGAATATTAATAGTGCTAAATTAATTACTCATTTCTCAAATAGATAAGAGTAATGTTATTTACAGTTGCTCATTGTTGTAATCGTCTATATGATATATATGCGACGGCTTGTGATTTAATACATTAATGTGATATTTTTTATTAGTTTATACAATAAATTATTAATCGCTACATGTATGTCACGTGGTACGACTACAGTAGTGAGCGATTGCAAATAACTTTATTCTATATGTAATATAATAATATTCTCTTAAAAAAATCTCTAATTAATGCGTTATTTTCCTCACATTTTCCATCTTTATTGAAAAAAATAGGACAATGACATTAACTTCAAAAATTAGGACAAGTGGAAGCAGCAAATCCACGCTCCTAAACGAGTGTGATGACAAAAAAATCAAACCAGACAAAAACAGACAGTTGCCCCCTCATCCTCTATTTCTCTTGGTTTCCCGGCCCACGAGTTCTAACACTTCCCTTACGAGTCGTGTTGTTAACGCGACCCCATGTCCCTTTTCCCATGGGCCACGCGATCAGGTTCGGATAAGAGCATGACCCGCTTTTCTCATCTCACCGTACACGTGTAAATCAATCAGATAATGTTAGATTAATCAAACATTAATCCGATGGTTCGATTGCGCAGTGTTTCATGTAACAAAATCACTCACGAGTCACGTGTATCTTTCTTAGATTTAACCGTTTATTACTTTATTAAGCCTTTGTTTAACAACTATTAAAAAGGAAAAAAAAAAATTTTGGGAGAAAATAAGTTTTAGAATAAAGATTTTTTGAAAAATGTATGATTAAAAAGTAAGAATTTTTTTTTAAATTTATGTGCAAAATATTTTATTGTGAGGATGTTAGATTTAAAATGAATTTAAGATAAAAATTTTGTTTTAATAATTATGTCGCGAGCGAAGGAGGAAACGTTAGGTCATTCTGACTTGTCATAAAGGTCTTCATTTATCCGTGCGGCCCCGTTTATGCGGTGGCACTTCCAGTCTTTTTATTTCCTAATCATGGATTTCTTCCTTGATCAAATCCACCAAATCATTATATGTCCTGGGTGCTCTAATGCGGACATCTCTCTAGAACGTAATACTGTTTTCTAAGTGGAACCTCAAGGCTTGAAAAGACATATCATATTTCACCTCTACCATTTTTTGGGCGAAATGACTAAGGTAACTTTATAGAGGCTCACTGAGACCTCATCTTATATCATAAATTCTTCTCGCTGGGGCCAACTTTAAAATTTAATAGAAATTTATGTTAAAATCAATAATTAATTTTTCTCATCTATTTCATTATATCCACAACTTTTAATTATTCATTTCATCAATTTTTATTTTGGTTTATTAAAAATCTAATTTCATATTAGAGACGAAATGTGCTTAGTGACATAAATTGAAAATTTTAAGTGTAATTAATAAATGATGTATTTATTGAAAAGTATATTGTAAGTATAACTATCCATGTTCTAGGATAATTACGTTCACAAACAATTTTTATTTTGCATCACATTTTAATTACACTTGAGATTCTTAATCATTACTCATTGTAATACTTATGTCTCTAATAGTTTTTCATGTCATTCTTAATCATTTTACCTTATAGGTCGTTCAAACTCATCAAGACGCATCCATACATGATCCCATAACAACAAACAACAAAGAAAATGAAAATTTATAGCAGTTTTTTGAAATAGCGAACTCGCGTTCGACAAACTCATTTTTCGACAACTGTAGTGGTCCCCATGATCGCGAACCACCTGTTCTGGCATCTTCTCGTCAAGACACACCTATTCTAACCATGGATCATCAGCAATTTGGGCTCTAAGTGGACGAACAGGTCGGGACAGTTTATATGCAAGGTAGCTTGGTTTGTCCCTCCTTCAATTGAAGGTTCTACATTGTCCCAATCATCAAATTCGACCTTAATACCTTCAATTCAAGTTGGTAATACATTGACGATTGTGATGGTATAGATGGTAGTGGTCGGTGGCAATGACTGGTTGAGGCGGAGGTGGCAGAAGTCGGGTTGCTGAGGGGTGGGTTTGGAGATAGAAGAGGATTGTTTTGTTTTATCTTATTTTTCATTTTTTAATTTAACAAATGTAATTATTTAATGTGATAAATAAATAATTACTCTTTTGCCCCTTATTAAAATATTAAAAATGTGGTCAAAGTTAATTTTTTTTGTCAATTGACGAAATTGTGGATGAAAATCGCCTAAAAGGGTTTCATCTGCAACGTTAGGAAAGGTTAAGTGTGACGACTACAACAAATCAAAAGTTTAGGAAAAATCTGTTAGTGTTTCAAAAGTTTGGAGCTTTTATTGCAATTATCCCTTTACAAAAATTCGTTTGTGAATAATTCGATCTAGTTCTTGATAAAGCTAGATTGAACATCCAGTGCCCATCCTTAAAAGGCAGGGTGAGTTTTATTCTTCGGACCTTATTTATTTGTTTTTGTTTAATTTAACAGTAGGGAAATTATATTTTTTAAGAAAAGTTTAGATAGATTACCCAAACATTACATAAATAAAGGTTGGGCGACTGACACGGCGAGAATATTAGGTTTCTGACCTATTTTCCATAGTTTTAATAGTCTGAGGATCCCAACTGAAATGGAAAAGGCATGGAAACGGAAAATATTAGGGATACATAATTTTTGGTCTGTAGGAGCGTTCACCCTTCATGTGGATGGGACTCACTAGAATAAAATATTCGACCGGATCCCACGTAATGTGAAAGTGTGGATACTCGTGTATAAAAAATTATGTATTATCTTTATCCCACTTCCGATATGTTGCACCATTAGCCGCCCATTCACAGCGCGTGAAATACAAACACCTCACCCACTGATCGCCACCCATACCATAATCGTTCAATTTTTTGTTCTTACTTGTCCATCTTCTTCTACCCATCGATTCTCTCTCTCTCTCTCTCTCTCTCTCTCTATACATACATTTTAATATCATATGTAAACATCTATCTGCGAAGAAGTTGGGATAATTTTTTAGAAGAAACATCGTTGCAAGGGTTTTTACCAAGAATCTTTCGATTCATTAATTTTGTCGACATCAATCTCTGATTCCGCTTCTCATCTTTGAAACACAATTTCATTTTGAATCAATAACATACGTTTTTATCTAACGTTTTTTACTTCTCGGGATTAAATTCATTGATACATATATATTAGAGGTAGATACAAAGAAAATTATTTTCAGAGGGTTTAGAGAAACACACCCATTGATTAAATTATTGATAAGTTTTTGGTTTTATTAAAGAAGAGGGATGTTGGGGGCAGGATTGCAGTTTAGCAGGAGTAGAAATGGAGATGATCGGTTTTATAGCGCCGCTAGGGCTCGCCGGAGCCAAGATCATTTGCGGAGATCTCAAGATAGGAGTCGAGCCGATGAGAAGGAGAAGACCGAGAGGACTGCTTTCTCGCCTATGTTTGAACCGGCCTCCTTGTGTAATCTGGAACGGTTCCTGGAGTCAATAACACCCTCGGTGCCGGCTCAACGATTATCCAAGGTTTATTAATTGATTATATATGAATTAACTGGACTTTGCATTAATTAGCAATGCTTTACATAAAAAATGAATTTATTATCAGTGGTAATTACTAATTAGTCTGAAAGTATCGAGATTCTATGGATTTAGTATGTTTCGTTAGTATTGTTTATCTAATTACTGCCCTGGCCATGTTTAAATAGAGTTTATTCCTAAAATTTTATTTAGTCCTAGTGTTACAGTTTGTTTACTATTTGTTGAAATGCGTTTCTTTCAGAGTTGTCTATTATTTTTTAAATAATTAAGAAATGTGGTAATACCTATAGAAAATATGAAATTCGGTAGCATCTAATACAGTAGTTAATCTATGATTCCGAGTGTGTGACTATAAAATGTCTGGTTGTTAATTTTTATATTAACCTTTTTTTTTTGGTCACTGGATGTGAAAGTGCTGAAACTCATGGTAAGACAGTTATATGGATGATCATATGCTTTATTTTATTATCAATCTTTAAATTTTGAACAATGAAAATAGATGACAAGTGCCCGATTGAATTGAGTAGGTCATATAGTAATTCATTAATTTATTAGCGATTACCAATTGTTTTGGGAAGTTAATGAATGGTTAATTGAAAATATGAATTGATTATTATTAGTGATTACCAAATCTTATGTTTAGTTATGAGAAGATATTGCAAATTTCATGATGATAGAACGAGGTGTAAGTGATTATGTCTGAAATGTGCTTTGGAGATGGCATGTTTTTCTTAAAGTATGGTAACTACTCATTGTATTTAGAAGAAAATGAGTATTAGTTCCTTGAATAATCCAAAATATCATTGTTTATTGTTTTACTTCAATATTTTTATGTAATTGAAATGAGGCTAATTCAATCAATTTGAAAATAATAACAGACATCGTTGAGGGGATGGAAAAATAGCAGTGAGGAGCGTCAATCATACTTTGTGCTCGGCGATTTGTGGGAATCATTCAAGGAATGGAGTGCATATGGTGCAGGAGTGCCATTGATAATGAATGACAGTGACCTTGTGTTCCAATATTATGTGCCCTATTTATCGGGTATACAATTATATGCTGATCCTTCAAGGAGTATGGCAAATTCATGGTACATTATTTTCTTCCTACATTCAATGTAGAGTGCACGAGTATAATCAGACCCCATCTATATTTGTCAAAAATGGAAAAATTAAAGAAGAAAGAACTGCTGGATTTGGTGTTTCATTCTTTTAGAACGTTTCATGTGCAGATCAAACTTTTAACAGATGTAATATTTGCTAGTGTAGGTAAATACAAGCTGTTTAATGATTTGTTCTTGGTGCTTGTGTCACTGTCATATCTTTTAAAGAGACTGTCAGGAGGTCAAAATATCTGTTGCTAGCATGATTAAAAAGTTGTTGAATGCATTCTGGGCTGAGGGAAGTGTACATGAGCTTTGCATAAATTACTTTAGATGCGAGAATTTTCAGCTCGTTTCCTTCCTATGGGGATTTAAGGATCAAGACTTATACCCACGTTTGACCATGTGTATGATATTAAGAATGTGATTTTGTGGTTTATACAATCATCACTGATTTTCTAACTGAATCAAGATTGCTTAGCATAAGTGTAACAGCCACACTGAATTTAATGGGTCGTTGTTTATTAAGGAAAGAAACAACGGGTGCATATTGCTAATGATGATGATACTGATGGTGTTACAATAATTTCCGTCAGATTGCCAGGTGAATGGATCATCTTATGTCCAGGCATGAACCATGTGTGGGTCCACGTACTAAAAAATTAGGTTGTAGAAATGTTAGTCTTAATATATGGTCCAAGTTAGGTTTTGAAATTGAGAACCTTACTGCACGAATGAAAAGTTTATTTAAGTATGAATAAATTTATGGAGTGGAGTGCTTGAAGAGAAAATTGGCAATGTACTAATTGCTAACAAAACCCTTACGATGTATCATCTTTTCGATTCACTTGGTTAGATGTAAAACATCACCTGGTTATGCGAAGGTATCTGTTATGGTCATTATTTTGTCCACTCCTTCCAATGAGTCTCTTTGTCTTTAATAAATAGCTCATTAAATAGTTATATAGAAGGAAAATTGCTGCCAGTTTGGGAAGTATATTTTTCTCAGGATACACGCTATCATCAACATGCATGTCTTGGCATAGGCTGATCGAGGGAATTACTTAATGTGAAACTGCAAAATTTATTAGATTGTGTATCTCAAACCTTCATGAGGATTACAGTTCGTAGTTTATTTCATTCCTTTCTTCTTATTGCTTTTCAATAATCTTTTACTTGTTAAGGAAATAGAAACAGATATCCCAAAAAAAAAAGGAAAAGGAAATAAAAACTGTGAACCTTTTTTTTCTCTTCTAGTTGCAGTCGACTTGGATGTCTTTTCTAGGTGCTCCATTTCCATCACAGCTGAATTTTTTCCACTCTTTCTCTGTCTTCTCACTTCATTCCTAGTATCTGTTAAAAATTATTTTTGTTGACTTTGTTAGACATCCCAGATATGCTCTAGCAGTCATCCTTGATAACTATTAGAGTGGAAGCATGATGTATATAGAAGTTCTTGATTAATATTCTGCTTAATTTCATGCATAAAATAAGACACTTACCTATGTGAGAAGCATAGGTTTCGTTTCTGATATATTGTTGGCTGCACTGCGTTTCGACAACACGTGAAAGCATTTGGCACATCTTATATATATTATACTTTATGTACTGTGATCCTTCTCATCTAGTGCGATTGCATGCAGTTTGCTCATTAGATGAGAAAAATTGCATAATATAGGCATCGTAATTACATGAAAGACTTGTGAGTACGGTGCCTATATTTTTTCCAATAATATATTTTTTACTAGTATTAATGCATGAGTTTACTCCACATCTTAACCATGGCAACTTGGGTACTTATCAAATTTTATTAGCATGCATATCCCTCATTCTGTTTTCTTCAATTTTGCAGTCGACTGATCAACACTGAATAACTTCTCATTTTGGCAAATTTAAATTATTTTCTATGTCCTGATTATTTCCTTTTGTATAACAGGAGACTTGGGGAGGAAAGTGATGGTGACTATTTTAGGGATTCAAGTAGTGATGGAAGCAGCGATTACGAACTGGATAGAGGCAGCTTCACCCATTCAGATGGGCAACGGAGCTTTCATCATCACACAAGTGATAGTACTCAGAGAATAGATCCATTGTCTGTGAGAGACCATTGTATGGCATATCAAGAAAGCATTTCTAGTGATGAAGGTGAACCTGGAAGTTCACGAAGTCACTTGTTGTTTGAGTATCTTGAACGGGACCAACCTTATAGTCGGGAACCGTTGGCAGACAAGGTCAGCTTTTTCTTAACATTATGAATGCATTATCACGTTTTCTGCTTTTCCTTTTTTTTTTTTTTTAATTCTTCTGTGGCAGGAATATTGAGAAATGTTTCGCTTCTTTTATTTTTACTCTTTCTGTGCTGTCTCAGATATGCGATCTTGCTCTCCGTTTCCCTGAACTAAAAACGCTCAGAAGCTGTGATCTACTACCATCCAGTTGGATTTCTGTAGCATGGTATCATGTTTATCTTTATTTTATTTTTTCCCATTTACTGATTTATGTGTAAATTGGCAGTCTCATGAGGAAATATTTATTTGTAGGTATCCCATCTATAGGATACCAATGGGACCAACGCTCAAAGATTTGGACGCTTGCTTTCTGACCTTTCATTTTCTTCAAACACCCTTGACAGATTCGTTGAATCCCTCCATCTCTCACACAGGCATAGTTTTTTTTTAATTGCTCTTATTTGTTGTTGTTGTTGTTTTTTGTTGTTTTGTTTTGTTTTTTTTTCCCCCCTTTAACATACATTTTATCCAATACCATGATTGGAGAGTTCAAGGTTTTTTATTTCCCAATAGTTAACAGATGGATGACATGGACTATAATTTAGTCCCAGGCAGTTCTCTTTTCTTTTTATAGTGATAGTTGCCTTCTGTCTTATAGTTTTTTGATTTTTTTTTTTCTGAAGTCACCTTGGCTCACCTCTCCTCTATATGCATGTTAACTTTCTTTAGTTGAGTAACTGCTGAACACTTTACTTTCAGTATGATTTATATTTGCATTTTTGATAGGCATATTCACGTGTCCTGTATTTGAAATTTGCATTTGTTGTATTTGCAGGGAGTGAAACTATACATACTTCAGTTGTCTCGTATTCCAATGAGAGGGAGGAAGGTGTGCCAAAGATTTCATTGCCAGTTTTTGGGCTAGCCACATATAAATATAAAGTATCATTGTGGACCCCAAATGCAGGATATCAGCGCCAACTGGTGCCCTCCCTTCTTCAGGCTGCTGATGATTGGCTAAAATCACTGCAGGTCAATCACCCAGATTTCCTTTTCTTCAGCCGTAAGTGATTCTAGATATTGCTTCCCTTCTGTCTTAGCTCCAATATTTGAGGAAGAAGCACAAGTCTTGCTAAGGGGATCTGCAAGAAAGCTTGATGAACGGGTTATATGTATTGTATTTAGAATAATATAAATCAAAAAAGAATAAAAAATCAAAATGGCTGCAGAAAAAAGAAAGTAGAAAAAGGGATGATTGCGAATGCTGGAGAAGAAAGATTGATGAACAAAGAATACAAAAAGATTTGGGGGTTATGGAAAGTTGAAGGCTGTTTTGCAGCGCTCTGATTGTTTAGAAAGTGGGGTGTCTGCTGTATCTCTTTCCCCTGTGTTTGTTTTATAGAACAGGCAATTTTTTTCTGTCCTGATTATCAGTAGTAGATTATAATTTATTTCTGCACTTTTAAGGGGATTTTGATAGAAAATCAGACCAAGTGCAAGGTTTAGGCCCATAGTCATGTACACAAACTGTGTGTTTAACTGTAACTTTGGAATGAAAAAGGTAGGCTCTAGGTGTATCATTCTCTCTTGATCTGTGTTTTCCTACTGTGCTTAGAATTAAGAGTGGCATTGAGTTGTGTATTTGGTCCATGTTTCTGTGATTTTTGCTTTATCAGATAAAAAACAAACCCATGGAATCTTTTTTAGTCATGAAGATAGTCTTTTTTTCTGTTTGTCTATGTGTTCTGTGGGTGGAATATAATTTTATTTTCTTGATGATGACATTGTTGCGATATGAAGATATTTGGATTATTTATTAGTGTTCTTAACTAAGATTTTGATGGAATTTAAAAGATTATACATTCTAATGAATTTCGTGGATTTGAATAGATTTCCACAAATTCCATAAGAATTTAATCAAATATGGTGAAATTTCAAAAGATTTGATTATATGTATTTTTTGAACTTAAAATTCATTCAAAATTTTTAAAATTCTTCTATTAATAAATTTTTTATAAATCCACTAGTTATTGATAATATTTATATTTTAAAACATTTCATTGAATTTCATTAATATCCCGATTGAGAACACGTGAACTTTAATGGATTTCATTAAAATCTTAATTGAAGACATTTAATTTTAGAATGATTTTTAAAATCTATCACGATCTCAATTGAAGGCAACCCTTGAAGTCTATATTCGGTAGGAATTAAAGTTTAGATTTTAATCTAATTTGAAGTCAACAATTTAAGTGCATAGTGTACGAATTCCTAGTTTGGCATGTTGACGGGTAAACGTCCCAACTTAAATTACACATGGTCAATCCATGTTTATTCTTGGGATGTAAACTATTTTAATGGTCGCTGTTATTGGTATTTGTCACAATTAGGTCATTTATTAGTTTGATGGTAGATGAAAAAGTGACTGTCTAACTAGTGATCTAGTTCACAAATTAGTGTGCCCTCGAGGCATAATCTAGAGGTGCAAAGGATAGGAGTAAAGTAGTTTCAGTCTTGTTGACAGCTATAATGTGAGGATTCGATTTCTGAAATATGGAATTGGACTCTTTGTGAGCACCAGTGTACGAGCAAGTTCTTGTTTCCTAATCTATTGAGGGTACATCCTGCGATTTACCTCCCTCACGATACTCCAGGGAAGGGGCGGTGGGGGCCCTCAAGGTTGGAGTTCAACCTTTTTTTTTTTAGTTCACAAATTACTGTATTTTTTCCTTTTAATAAAACTAACATCTATGTCTAGGTATCATTGTAAGTTCTTGATAATTAACACCCATTTATTATATACACATTTTGTAGGATCAATTCCTATTATCACTGTTAATGAAGAGTAATGCTATGTGTACAAAGGAGATTGACAAAACATGAGTTGGCAAAATTTACACCAATCATTTCAAAACCAAATTTTGAAACAAAAACAAATCAACGACTCAGATCTTGCCAACACCTATGTTAACAAATTTTGTCTACCTACTTTGTACAAGTAGATCAATTGGTTAATGAAACCCAAACATAAGCACATTTCGTATTCTTCCAAAGTTCCAATTATAAAGTAAGTTAGTGAAACTAACCTTTGCACTTCTGTCTAGTTCAATCCATCATTCATCTAAAGTCGTAAGACGAAACCTACATGTTTATTAACTATAAATATATATACCGTTCTGCGTGATGAATTATTTTTACTTGAGCGCTTTTTATATGTGATTTGTTTCAATACATTTCGATTCTTGACAATTCTAACGGGCTACATATGTCGTTCCTGAATTAAATTTTGATTGAATGATAATGATTAAACATTGTAGTTGTGTATCAGCTTGACACGTTCTTCGTTTTTATGAATAATTCATTATTTTCATTGTATATGAAATGTATTTATGCAATACAGAAATAATGATAAATATTGGGAAAATTGCAGCTGCGGTCCCTAACCTTTCACATTTTTACAGACTTTACTCTAACCTTCAATTTGTGTCACCCACATCCCAAACTTTTTAAAAATATATACTTGAGATCCAAATGATTGACCATTAATTGACCAAAAAAGTAAAAATTTGATCAATTTTGACCAAAGTAAAGAGGGTAAAATGATAAATTTGCTATTTAACATTATAAAATAATTAAAATAAAACAAATAACTAAAACAAAATAAAGATAAAATGGAAAAGCTATTCATCTCCTTGTTCACGGGGTACTTTTAATTTTGACCCAGTCAAAGGAGCAAAATTTCAGTTTGACTTCCAAAATCAAGAATATTATGACATTGGCCTCTTGTATGGTAAAAGACAAAGATGCCCTTAAATATTTTGTACAATTACAAAACAATATATTGTTGAAAGGACTATACTACCCTTTTACTTAATAATTGAAAACCAAACATTTCCCCACTTATAAAAACTTCAAAACGAGCTTCCAACACAGAAAAAACTCTCATATTTTCATCTGCTTGAACCTCAAAATCTAGAAGAACTTTGGAACGTTGAAGCTGAAAATTTTTTTCACATCAATTACTTCAATTCGGTAAGTACATTTAATCATGTTTAATTTCGTTTTAAGTAAATTAGTATACGTTAAAAAGAGAAATTTTATGTCGACATAGATTTATTTTAACAGAACCTATCAAAAAAATAAAATTAAACGGATGTATAACTTACGTTTAAATTACGCATGCTTAATTTCGTTTTTAGAACGGTATTCTCCTACGCCAAACTGGTATAACTTAACAAACAGTCGGAAATAGTCTGAAACAGCCGGTTGTTGGATGTTTAACAGCCGGGAAACAGCCGGCTGTTAAATATCCAACAGCCGGCTGTTCAGAAGCCGGCTGTAAAACAGCCGAAAACAGCCGGCTGTTCGGCTGTTTAACAGCCGACTGTCCGGCTGTTAAACAGCCTGACAGTCGGCTGTTAAACAGCCGGC